ATAGATAGGTAGATGGATTATTCAATTGGTTGATAGATAGATATACAGTCATGTGTATGTATATAGAGAGAACGTTAAATACAGACTCAGTAACTGAATAAATGTATAAACAGTCATATACACAGATAGGCAAGCAGATAGATAACAAATAGATAGATAGTTAGGTAGATAGATAATCATATATATATAAGTAGATAGATAAGCAGATGGGTAGGTAGGTAGATAGATGCATACATAACAAGAGTAACTAATATATTTCTTGACTGATAGACAAACAGACTGCTACACAAACACATAGACAGATCAATAAATAGACAGGACGAGATGATGAGACGGACAGAGGGATGTGTAAGAAGACAGATTAATAGATATGCAAAGATAAAGATAGATAAATGACCATACAGAAAGATAAATAACGTAACCGACAAAGAGACAGACAGACAGACAGATACCCCCCATACCTCACGAATTAAGCCAAGATAGCTTAGCAAATCATCAAATTGAAATAAAATTAAGAGGCGGGAGTACAAAGTCATTCTTCTTGATAAACAAAGCCCCTGGGGAACGTATGCAAATTTTCCATTCTCTTCTTAAAGCGTTCAGTGTGTTCGCAGTCAACACGGTGTTAATGAGGGTTGGTGGCTGTTGACACTGTGGTAGATTTTATGCGCGTCATGGGGTAGGTTATGTAGCTTTTTATTCACTATTATTATAATTCTTCGTTGGTATCTTCATCCTCCTCCTCCTCCTCCTTAATGAGCATTGTTATCATCATCATTATCGTCATCATTATATGCAGCAGCAACATCATTATCCTCCTCTTCCTTCTCTTCATCATCATCGTCAATAACGTCATCATCACATCATGGGTATGATAATGGTGATGATAATTTTGAATATATAATTTCTTGTAGATGGTTAGAGGTTATATAAGTTACTTAAACCTTTTTTTTTTCTTCTTTTTTTCTTTTTTTTTGCCCCGAAAGTCCTGAGTGATTATGTTACAATGTTTCAAAGTGCAATGAATATAAAAAAAGCTGAGCAAAATTTGAACGCCCGATTTGCATATGAAAATGCTAATCTGAACAATAACTCTCTCATATATATTTTTTTTAATTCTTAACTCGTTTCTATCTCTATCTCTATCTCTATCTTTATCTATATCTGCATATATATGTTTATCTAATTATATATATATATATATATCTGTATATCTATTATATCTGTCTGCCTGTGTGTGTGTGTCTATGTGAGTGTGTGTGTGTGTGTGTGTCCCTCTGTCTTTCTGTCATTTGTCTGTCTGTCTGTCTGTCTGTCTGTCTGTCTGTCTGTCTGTCTGTCTGTCTCTCTCTCTCTCTCTCTCTGATGATACTGTGTATGAAGCAAGATTTTTTTTTTTTTTTTAAGTTGAACCAAATGAAGCCCCTAAGATCATTTGTTAAGAAATGAGAAAATCTGCCCTGACATGCTGGATGAATCCTTATCGTTACTTTTATCTCTATTTCCCCGTTAGTATTATAAGCTTTGAATCACCACCATACTCATTAGCATTATACATTTTATTATTATTATGGTTAAAGGAGTAGTCCAGAGGGTAGTAGAAAGTGTTTTTTTTTTTTTTTACTTTATTTGCAAAATAAATAATCTAAATAAACATCCCAAGGCATCATTTTGTAAATTCATTCACAACACTAGACTTTATAGCCCTTTTTATCTAGCATTTTTGCTCCTGAAATCCGTCTGCTACAAAATGCTGCCGGTGGCGCCTCCATACGGGTGTGACGTAGTACCGTGTATATGGGTCAGGAGATCAGCCATTATTGTGCATTTATTGTGACAAATTTCAATGTCTGGTGACAATTTTAGGCCGGAGGGAACTACCAAACGACGGAGGAAAGATGGAGGCACTCGAGAATTGGATGCGTTAACCCATTCGCGCCGCGTAAAAATGAACCAAAAATGGGGAAAATGCTGTGCTCATTTTTTATATCTTTTATGAAATTTCTCTACACTAGATGGCTCTGCCTTACCTGATTTCACCTTTACTTGAATTGGCGGGAAAATGTATTTTTACTAGTGCTATGAATATCGATGGTTATTTTTATTATAAACATTATAATTCTTTAACGATATAAACATTAGTAACAGCAAAATAAGATAACGCAAAATAATTTCGTAAATTAAAGTAAAGGGTAAACAGGCGAGACAAGCAGTACAAATACAAGTGGAGCCATCTATGTGTGAAAACAATTAAACATCGTGAACGGGTTAATGAGGGAGGAAGACGAGTCGTCAGATTCGGCCTATAACATGGCTCAAATTGGTATCATTTCACCAATTCTCCTCCTACTTCCAGCTCCCTATCTTCTAGTTCATCACCAGTAAGATCTATTGATTCTGTAGACACAGAATCAATAGATCTTTCACTTTCAACTTCACTGGAACTATTGTAATCTTGTTGCTCGCCATGTTGTTGGACAATGGCTATACAAGGTATGACGTCACGCGACGTGGTGGCGCCACTGGTCGTTTTTGAGGCAGACGAATTTTGTGGGCTTACAAAAT